AGCATTTTTGACGCGTCGCGAAAAATAAACTGTTTGAGTATATCAACCGCACTGACGATGCGATGAAATTACAAGAGAAAGGGTAAAAACTTCTTCATCGTCCGTGCGGTTCATATAGTCAAACACTTTAATTTTTGGCGACCTGAGACTTTATTGCTCTCTGCGCATGCGCAGAGCGTACTAAGAATGCATTAACAGCACCATGTGGAAGTGCACATTTTCTTTTGAATGAAACTTAGTTGATTTCTCATTTTTTCAGCTATGCAAGGCGTAGTTACCAAATTTTCATAAAGAAAATGTGAATTTATTGCTTTTTATTGCTCATAGTAAAAAATGATTTCATTGGACACTTCGACACTCTAATTTTCCATTTTTGTAGAGAAAAGTGTAAAAATGTTAATTTTTGTAGGAGAAATGGCTGTTACAAAAGTACGATTTTTGTGTTTGGTTTGTTTACATTTTACAACTTGGACTTACCCTTAAGTAAAAAAAATAAAATCAATTTTTTTTCGGGTCAAAGGTGTCACTCCCCCTTAATTAATTCTTGAAAATCCTTGTAAAAACAATAAAAACATCAACGCTCAAAATAAATATTTAAATTAAATTTTTCAGGTGGTTTTATTACTAAAAATTAGTAATATTCTACTAATTAAAATGGGAAAAAGTCGTCCAATGTTTGACCAAGAAAAAACTTTTGGCATCCAATATTGGCCAATTATTTAGCCAATGGTGACCATTGGTAATTTACCATTGGGTAATATTATATAATACAATATAATACTTATGTATAACAGAGCTGTTCACTTAAAATGTGTAAGCAACGGAGCTTTTATTTACCTGTCCAAATTATTATTTCAATTAAGTATTAATATTTTTTAAATAAAGAGAGGAAAAAATTTAAAAAATTATTATTTATAAAAACTAAAAAATAAGATGATGAAAAAAGTTTATAAAGAAATGAATATTTTTTTACTGTGAAAAAGTAATTCACGAATATTAGTTATCATCAGAAGAGACAAGACGAACAAAGGATATGTTCGGAAATGGATATGACAATTTGGAGCCCCCTGCGGGTGTGAAAATTTATCGTAGAGTGGACGATACCATTATCGCATTCCGCGTACTGGATGAATATATATATTATCCACATGTGCACTTATGCGCGGCTACATCGCCGAGTTTTAGATAAGGTCCTGCAGGCACCAGCTCCCTTCGGAGTATAGATTATTATGAACATTCTCCTTCTCTTCTACTCTGAGGGCAAAAACCCCGAGTTTCATTCTATATAGAATTAATCGCAAAATAATGCTTACGACTTCTATACGCAGAAATAAGACAAATTAGACAGTATAATAACGGTAAAACAATACTTACCTACTATCAATTTTACTTTTTCCTAATAATCGTCTTCGAGGAATAATAATAGATAGTCAAGCTAGAAATACCATTTTTTAAATTCAAATTATTTCTTGCTTTAATTTATTTAAGTGAATTAAATTAATAAAACTATAATTGAGGCCTTGGATCCAATAACTCGCCCGACGCTCGAAGGCACGCGCTAATACCAGTCGGGTAGCAGTGAGTGGCCCAGAGGCGCTCACTGCTCACTGACTGGCAGTTGCGCGTTCCTCCGAGCGTCGGGCGAGTTATTGGATCCAAGGCCTCAATTTAATTTTACGAAAAGATTCAAATTATATCAAATTTTAATTAAAAAATATGAAGAATTGAGCGAGATAATGAGATTTTTCTCAGACGACTCCAAAAAAAAATTGATTAGCGATGTACTCTCTAACTTGCAACAGAATCATCCAAAGCAAAAAAATCAAAGTGCATTTGTTAACCCTTTCCCTGTTTGACAAAATATATAAGTGGCCCAAAATGTCCAGCTAAATCTGGTCGATGAATTTTTATGAAACTTAGTACCTATACAAGGGTTTTTGGGGTCGCTGAATTCGAATATGACGTCAAAAGAAAAATTCAAAATGGCGGACAAAATTTTTCAATTTTAAAGAGATATTTATAAAAATTAGTATGCAAGGGTTTTTGAGGTCGCTGAATTCAAATATGACGTCAAGAGCATTAGCTTTTGACGTCATATTTGAATTAGCAAAGGAAATAAAATAAAGTAAAAAATTTGATAAAAATCTGAATAAATTAAAAAAATTACGTCCCTCATTATCAATTCAACATTTTGTATTTTTTCTTTTGAAAGTCATATTTGAGAGTTCAGCGACCCAAAATATCCCTCGATAATGAAATTGAGAAAAATCAAAATGAATTTTTAAAATTACGTCCGCCATTTTGGATCCTCTATTTTGAATTTCTAAAAATGAATATGAAATTTGAATTCAGCGACCCAAAATATCCCTAGATATTGAAATTGATGAAAATCGAAATAAATTTTAGAAATTGTGCCTGCCATTTTGAATTTTTAAAAATAAAGGTCAATTTTCGAATTCAGCGACCCCAAAAACCCTTATACAAGGTGATCTGAAAATCGTATTCAAAATTGTAGAATTAGATTCAGAAAAAAATTCTAAGACAGCACTTTTTCTTTTTTTTATGAAATTCTAAATAGTTTTAAAATAAATTCAAATTAAATGGATTGAAAAGTCACGATAAATGTAAAGCATTTGAACACCATTTTTGTTATGCGGCAAACTTCTCTATAAAAAAAGTAAACAGAAGGAGTGGCTGTCTTTTCTTCTGCCGTGCAAAACTTAAGTGACATTTTAAACTTGTGTTTACGTTACATTATTTTATTATAATTATTACAATTATTCCCGTGCACCCTGCCACGCGGAGCAGTACATTACGGGTTTGTTATATAATAATAATAAAAATTACATTTATCAATAATGTAAACAATAAACTATGAAGTTTATCAAAATAAAAGAATAATTGCATCTTGCATAATATTCTGATTATATTTATAGAGGCAGTTCAAACAGACAAAAATAAAAATCAATATGTTTTGTCTTGTCCAGTGGGTTTCTAAAAAATCTATAAGTGTTGTTGGAAAGGAGCAAATTGTAAAAAAGAATCAAAATTTGGCGACTGTGGTTTGGTACGGGAAAACGTATAAAGCAAAAATAATTGCTTCTAACGGTTTGTGATAAATATTTTTTCAATATTTTCTTTAATTTTTTAAATTAATTATCTAAAAATATTATATGATAATCAATGAAATAATTTTCCTCACAAAATTTAAAACACAAAAAAAACCTTTTATTATAAAATGTTTTGTTTAAAGTATTTAGAAATTTTTAATGTCTTTTGACATTTTCCACGACTATTTTTGTAGATATTTGCGAATTTCTACATTACCAACAAAAAAAAATTGTATTTTAAAATTCTACTTTTTTTCTAGAATCTTTAAAAATTTTCCCATATTTTTTAGGTTATTTATCATTCTTGGTTTCTGTATTAGAACCTTAAAAAGTCAGTAAAATTATCAACTTAAAAAAAAATGCATAAACAAAATTTTTCTTTTTAAGCTCTTTATCACTCGGAATTGAATTTAAATAAATTAATTTCTTCTCACGATGAGTAGTATTTTCAATACGTTTGCAATTATATATTTTTCTTTTTATTTTACAAAATCTTCGTTTTGTAGTTCAGTCTCGCTGAAATCGCTTAATATAAATTAAGCGATTTCAGCAAAACTCGTCTAAGTCATTTTCGTCCTGTCCAGACCCGTCTGTCTTCTATGAAACTCGTGGACCTATAAATATTCCACAATGGTAGAGGCGACACTGTTTTGGGGGGCCCAAAAATGCATTGAAATATAACAGTTTACACAAGAGAAAATAATTAAATAATTAAAAAATAATATTACATTTAAATAATTAATTTTTAATAAGATGTAGTCAATTTAAAAAATGTAGTGCATTTATATTACTTTTTCAGAAAACATGGAGACTTTCTTCGCTTCGAATATCAATAAAATCGTAAAACCGAGAATTGACTTATAAATTAATAAAATAAAATGAAAAAAATTGTAGACGTAACAGAAGGAAAACGAATCTTGTCAGAAAAAATCGAAATGTGTAAAAGAAGACAATTATTGAAGAAGGAGAGAAAGAAGAAGTTAATAATAAGATTATATAGTTTTTAAATTTTATTTTTGAAATAAATTGAATATATTTTGGAAAATTTAATGAATAAAAAATAATAAAATAAAGATGAATACATAAAAAAATACAAATAAGATTTTTAACAGTTAAGAACAACATTTAACTCTCGCTGATTGAATGGCTTAAAGCCTCGTGGGTTTTATGTGTAAAAAGTGATACTTTATTTGCCTAAAACAGGTGTAAAAATGAAAAACTTTTTTCTTGTCCAAAGAGTAAAACAATATATATATAGAGGATGACGCTGACTCTGACGTTAACGATGAGATTGTCGCTGTTGCTGAACGATTTTGAAATTTTTGCATCAGAATTTATTCTCCAATTTTTTTCTTCTTTACCAGAAGGTATTAAGTCACTGTTGCTGCTCTGCAATTTTATTACGACAGATTTCATTTTGTTTTCCTTAATTTTCTTATAGAATTTTAACTTTTTTCTATTTTATTTTGTTTTCCTTAATTTTCTTATAGAATTTTAATTTTTTTATATTTATGACACAAGAATTGTGACGTGCAATAATAAAATATTAATATAATAAAATAGCAAGCTTTCAAAATAAAAATTTTTAGTGTTTATAAACTTTATAACTGTATTATAAAGATTTTAAAAAAATATATTTTTAATGAAAAAGTCACTTTTAAAGATATAAAGAAAAGATTAATTTAAAAAATTTCTGACTATAAGGAATGGAAAGTTCTAGAAGAAAGAAGAGAACGAAATTGAATTGACTCGACATTAACAGAAGGAAGAAAACTAAAAAAAGACAAAGTTGGAATTTAATTATTAAAGGAAAATAAAATTTTATTTTTAAATAAACGTTCATTTTATTTTTAAATAAATTTAAATCATTTTGAAAATTTTAAAGTTATAATTAATGTAAAAGTAATTAAATTTTTTTGCCCTCCACACTGGCTTGCTTTAAAACTTCAAGGGTTTCCAGTGAAACTAATAAAATATTTGACAGGGTTGAAGAAATTTCTTTTAAAACTGCCAAATTTTCCTCATGCATTGCCCTCAATTCTGCAGTCATATCTCGATTTTGGTACTGAAATAAATATAAAAATACAGTTATATTTTAATTTTATTTTTTTAATTTATTTTATCTAAACTTAAATTACTGAAAAGAATTTTAATGAAATTAAAGGAAGAGTCGACTTTTGTCTTAGGAAATATGATTTAAGAAATAATGATTAAGAGGGAGTTAGTATCAGAATTTGAACCTGTTTTTCGAGGTACTACTGCACTTTAGAATTTAAGAAAAAACAATTTTTCTTTTATTGTTTTTTAACTCCTTAAGGCTTAAAAAAACACTTCCTAAAGTGCTCATAACCAATTGTCAATAATAAAAATAAAGTTTTTAAAAAGTATATTTATATATACTGAAAAGGAAGATGGTCTTGACGTTTCTGGTGACGTTGACGACTGCGTTGATAACTTTTTCAGCTTGTCGAGGAGAACACTTCCACCACTCTTCGGTAGTAGTTTTCGAGCAGGTTGCTGGCCACTGATGATAGTCTAGGATTAATAATTTTCAATTTAATATAATAATTAAACTTGACATATATTTTCAATACAACAATTTAAAACATAATCATATAAAATTTCAATTACTAAAAAATTGTTAAATAAAAAATCCTTTTTTTCTGCAATTTTTTTTAATTGCCCTTAACTATAAAACAAAATTTCCAACATTTTTTGGGAATCAAAATTTTTTATTTTTATCTTAATTAATAATTTGCTAAAAAAATAATTTTTTATTTTTAAACTCGACTTTATTTAAAAATAAAGCTTATAGGAATATTTTGTTTTGTAGTTAGTTTGGAAAAATCTATTTAAAAAATTAAAAATTTATATTTAATTAAACTATGCCTAACCTTTACTTGTTTTGATGGTGGTGATTCAAATGAATCAGATTCATCTCCTGATGACATGGAGCAAAGTAGCCCTTTTAATTAACGGTGATTTCCGCTCTCTTTTTATGACAATCTGTAAGAAAAAGAACAATTAAACTACAAATTCCATTAATTAGGGAATTTTTATTTAAAAAAGTGTTAAGGTAGATAATATTTTGAAAATATGTGCTAAAATTTAAAAAATTTAATTTTTAAATTAGTAAGAAAGTGGAATTTTAATTGTAATGAACTATTTAATGTTTAACTTATATAATTTTTAAATTATTACCATTCGGAATGATTAAATTTCTAAAAAGTATGGTGTTAATTTAGATGAGTTGTATTATGAAGTAAATTAAAAATTTTAAGTATTTACTCACACTTGTTGAATTATTTGCGCTATCCTTTTTTTCGCTTTATATTAATGGCAACAATCTTTCCTCTAAATCGTTTAGCGGAGTTCCTTTTGTGCTTTTATTTATATTTGCTTTGTTCAGGGGTACCAATTTTTTTCCAGTAATTTGATATCTAAATTTATTTTAGATTATTAAAATTACAAAAATTATTCTTGATAATTTTAGATAATTTGTTTCTTTAAAAAAATTTTTAAATCCATAGAATTGATAATATATCCATAAAATCTTCAGTAAAGCTTGTGAAAAATTCATCCTAAACAGTCTAACTATGTCATTTATTTTAACCACTCTAGAGAAAGAAAAGGGGAATTTTGTTCTTTTAGGAACATAATTCAAATTTTGTAAAGAATTTTGTTATTTTTAAAGATAATAATTGAATGTTTGAAGTGCATTGCAGAAATAGGTGTCTTTTTAAATATCTAAAAATAAAATGAAAGATGGAAAAATGGTATCTTACACCTTAAAATAAAATGTTTTCTAAAGTATCTTATAGAAATCTAAGATGCTTTATATATTTTAACAGTGATAAAAATATTTTTCCCATCTCAGAAATGTAAGTTTCTTCAGCTAGTTAATTAAAATATCTTAAATTAAGATATTTCTGGTGCAATAAGATGTTTAGCGATAAGTTAGTTGTGAATTGTAAGATGAAAAATAAATGTAATTCACTAAAAACTAAGATTCGTGAAGTATTTTACATATAAGTCCAAAGTTAACCTCAAAACTTTTTTCAAAAAAATATGCTAAAAATGCGTAACGAAGATACTTTAAACATCTTAAATTAAGATATTTAAAGAAACAAAAAAAATTTCTACCAAAACATCTTAAATTAGGATACTTCTTTTTGCAGTGTAAGATCTAAAATAGTAGAAATAAAAAAATGTCTTTGATAATTAAATGGCTAAAAATTGACAGGCTCTTGAAGTAAAAGAAGGAGAAAGAAATAAAGACACAGGGAAAAATAGAAAAAAATATAAAACGTGCAATTCTTGTTGACGAAGAAAGGTCTACCTAAATAATAAAATAAGGACAAATTTAAAGAACGGCTCGATACTAAAATTGAGGACGTATTTTTGAGAAGTTTTAAAATAAAAATAAGAACGTATTTAAGGACTAGAACGATAATAAAAAGAGGAAGTACTTTAGGACATTGTCGATAATAAAATCAGAAGATATTTGAGGACTAGCTCGATAATAAAAATAAGAACTAGCTTTAATATTAAAAACGAGGACGTATTTGAGGAATAGATTGATAATAAAAAAGGCGACGTATTAGAGGACTAGCTTGATAATAAAAATGAGGACGTACTTAAGAACTAGCTTGATAATAAAATTGAGGACGCGTTTGAGGACTAGCTTTAATAATAAAGACGAGTACGTATTTGAGGACTAGCTTGATAATAAAAACGAGGACGTAATTGAGGACTAGCTTGATAATAAAAATGAGGATGTATTTGAGGACTAGCTTGATAATAAAAATGAGGACGCGTTTGAGGACTAGCTTGATAATAAAAATGAGGACGTATTTGAGGACTAGCTTGATAATAAAAATGAGGACGCGTTTAAGGACTAGCTTGATAATAAAAATGAGGACGTATTTGAGGACTAGCTTGATAATAAAAATGAGGACGCGTTTAAGGAATAGCTTTAATAATAAAAACGAGTACGTATTTGAGGACTAGCTTGATAATAAAAACGAGAACGTAATTGAGGACTAGCTTGATAATAAAAATGAGGACGTATTTGAGGAGTAGCTTGATAATAAAAATGAGGACGCGTTTGAGGACTAGCTTGATAATAAAAATGAGGACGTATTTGAGGACTAGCTTGATAATAAAAATGAGGACGTGATTGAGGACTTGTTTTAATAATAAAAACGAGGACGTAATTGAGGACTAGCCTGATAATAAAAATGAGGACGCATTTGAGGACTAGCTTCAATAATAAAAATGAGGACGTAATTAAGGACTAGCTTCATAATAAAAATGAGGACGCGTTTGAGGACTATTTTTAATAATAAAAATGAGGACGTATTTGAAGACTAGCATGATAATAAAAATGAGGACGTATTTGAGGACTAGCTTGATAATAAATATAAGGACGCGTTTGAGGACTAGCTTTAATAATAAAAATGAGGACGTAATTGAGGACTAGCTTGATAATAAAAATGAGGACGCGTTTGAGGACTAGCTTGATAATAAAAATGAGGACGTATTTAAGGACTAGCTTGATCATAAAAATGAGGACGCGTTTGAAGACTAGCTTGATAATAAAAATAAGAACGTATTTAAGGACTAGCTTGATAATAAATATAAGGACGCGTTTGAGGACTAGCTTTAATAATATAAATGAGGACGTAATTGAGGACTAGCACGATAATAAAAATGAGGACGTATTTGAGGACTAGCTTGATAATAAAAATGAGGACGCGTTTGAGGACTAGCTTCAATAATAAAAATGAGGACGCGTTTAAGGACTAGCTTGATAATAAAAATGAGGACGTATTTGAGGACTAGCTTGATAAAAAAATGAGGACGCGTTTGAGGACTAGCTTAATAATAAAAATGAGGACGTGTTTGAGGACTAGTTTTAATAATAAAAACGAGGACGTAATTGAGGACTAGCTTGATAATAAAAATGAGGACGCGTTTGAGGACTAGCTTTAATAATAAAAATGAGGACGCGTTTGAGGACTAGCTTGATAATAAAAATGAGGACGTATTTAAGAACTAGCTTGATAATAAATATAAGGACGCGTTTGAGGACTAGCTTTAATAATAAAAATGAGGACGTAATTGGGGACTAGCACGATAATAAAAATGAGGACGTATTTGAGGACTAGCTTGATAATAAAAATGAGGACGTATTTGAGGACTAGCTTGATCATAAAAATGAGGACGCGTTTGAGGACTAGCTTGATAATAAAAATGCAGAACGCGTTTAGGAACTAGTTTTAATAATAAAAAAGGAAAACGTAATTAAGGACTAGCTTGATAAAAAAAATGAGGACGTATTTGAGGACTAGCTTGATAATAAAAATGAGGACGTGTTTGAGGACTAGTTTTAATAATAAAAACGAGGACGTAATTGAGGACTAGCTTGATAATAAAAATGAGGACGCGTTTGAGGACTAGCTTAATAATAAAAATGAGGACGTGTTTGAGGACTAGCTTGATAATAAATATGAGGACGCATTTGAGGACTAGCTTCAATAATAAAAATGAGGACGTAATTAAGGACTAGCTTCATAATAAAAATGAGGACGCGTTTGAGGACTATTTTTAATAATAAAAATGAGGACGTATTTGAAGACTAGCATGATAATAAAAATGAGGACGTATTTGAGGACTAGCTTGATAATAAATATAAGGACGCGTTTGAGGACTAGCTTTAATAATAAAAATGAGGACGTAATTGAGGACTAGCACGATAATAAAAATGAGGACGTATTTGAGGACTAGCTTGATAATAAAAATGAGGACGTATTTGAGGACTAGCTTGATAATAAAAATGAGGACGCGTTTAAGGACTAGCTTCAATAATAAAAATGAGGACGTAATTAAGGACTAGCTTTATAATAAAAATGAGGATGCGTTTGAGGACTATTTTTAATAATAAAAACGAGGACGTAATTGAGGACTAGCTTGATAAAAAAATGAGGACGCGTTTGAGGACTAGCTTTAATAATAAAAATGAGGACGCGTTTGAGGACTAGCTTGATAATAAAAATGAGGACGTATTTAAGAACTAGCTTGATAATAAATATAAGGACGCGTTTGAGGACTAGCTTTAATAATAAAAATGAGGACGTAATTGAGGACTAGCACGATAATAAAAATGAGGACGTATTTGAGGACTAGCTTGATAATAAAAATGAGGACGTGTTTGAGGACTAGTTTTAATAATAAAAACGAGGACGTAATTGAGGACTAGCTTGATAATAAAAATGAGGACGTGTTTGAGGCCTAGTTTTAATAATAAAAACGAGGACGTAATTGAGGACTAGCCTGCTAATAAAAATGAGGACGCATTTGAGGACTAGCTTCAATAATAAAAACGAGGACGTAATTGAGGACTAGCTTCATAATAAAAATGAGGACGCGTTTGAGGACTATTTTTAATAATAAAAATGAGGACGTATTTGAAGACTAGCTTGATAATAAAAATGAGTACGTGTTTGAGGACTAGTTTTAATAATAAAAACGAGGACGTAATTAAGGACTAGCCTGAAAATAAAAATGAGGACGCATTTGAGGACTAGCTTCAATAATAAAAATGAGGACGTAATTAAGGACTAGCTTCGTAATAAAAATGAGGACGCGTTTGAGGACTAGCTTTAATAATAAAAATGAGGACGTGTTTGAGGACTAGTTTTAATAATAAAAACGAGGACGTAATTGAGGACTAGCTTGATAATAAAAATGAGGACGTGTTTGAGGCCTAGTTTTAATAATAAAAACGAGGACGTAATTGAGGACTAGCCTGCTAATAAAAATGAGGACGCATTTGAGGACTAGCTTCAATAATAAAAACGAGGACGTAATTAAGGGGGGCGCCTACTTTAGAAGGTAAAAAACTGCGTACATTTCAGGAATTTTTTTCTCAAACACATTTAAATAAATCGATGCGAGATTTAGTGTTTGTTTTCTTATATATTTAAACCTTTGAAATATAATTTTTTCATTAAATGAAAATAGAATTTAATAATAAAATAAACGCCATATATATAACGCATCGCTGCTGAAATTTTCCCATTGCGTACAACCTAGGGCCCACAATTCTTATCTAAAACAAAAAAACAAAATTTTTTCTTTAAATATACATTATTGCCTTCTGTATGAATCAAAAGATTTCAATAGAAAGTAAAAACTGAAATTTTCACATGACTTTTAAAAAAAAATTTAATTTTTGCCAAAAAAAATCTCATTTTTTCTTTAAAAGAAAGCATTAAATTTAACTCTATCAAAAACAAATTTAATTTATACAGAAGAGACACTCTTTATCTTCAAAACAAGCCCAAATAGACTTTAATCGGTTGATTAGATTTTTGTCTATCGTGTACGCAAACTACAAAAACAGTGTTTTGAGAAAAACGCGTTTAAAGATTGAAAAACATATATAAATGCTGTTTCGCGGCCTCGATAAACGACTATTTTTTTATGTGTAGCTCTTGGATAAGAAGACATTTTACTGATAAATGGTAATTTTAATGGTAGGTGTAATAGTAGATAAGCGCAACAAATTATGAAAAGTATTAGAGACCGCGAGTGGAATCGCGCGCCAGGCCAAGCGCCAGTCCACGCGCTTTATTGCGTTCTACAAGCTGTAACTCGAAAAATACTTTGTATTTTGACGTAATATTTTAAGAGCATATTCTCTTATAGTTGTACTTTCAGTTAAGACAACTTTTAAAAAATCGATTTTTTTGACCCGATAAAGTAGGCGCCCCCCTTAAGGACTAGCTTCATAATAAAAATGAGGTCGCGTTTGAGGACTATTTTTAATAATAAAAATGAGGACGTATTTGAAGACTAGCTTGATAATAAAAATGAGTACGTGTTTGAGGACTAGTTTTAATAATAAAAACGAGGACGTAATTGAGGACTAGCTTGATAATAAAAATGAGGACGCGTTTGAGGACTAGCTTAATAATAAAAATGAGGACGTGTTTGAGGACTAGCTTGATAATAAATATGAGGACGCATTTGAGGACTACCTTCAACAATAAAAATGAGGACGTAATTAAGGACTAGCTTCATAATAAAAATGAGGACGCGTTTGAGGACTATTTTTAATAATAAAAATGAGGACGTATTTGAAGACTAGCATGATAATAAAAATGAGGACGTATTTGAGGACTAGCTTGATAATAAATATAAGGACGCGTTTGAGGACCAGCTTTAATAATAAAAATGAGGACGTATTTGAGGACTAGCTTGATAATAAAAATGAGGACGTATTCAAGAACTAGCTTGATAATAAATATAAGGACGCGTTTGAGGACTAGCTTTAATAATAAAAATGAGGACGTAATTGAGGAATAGCACGATAATAAAAATGAGGACGTATTTAAGGACTAGCTTGATAATAAAAATGAGGACGTATTTGAGGACTAGCTTGATCATAAAAATGAGGACGCGTTTGAGGACTAGCTTGATAATAAAAATGCAGAACGCGTTTAAGAACTAGTTTTAATAATAAAAACGAATACGTAATTAAGGACTAGCTTCATAATAAAAATGAGGACGCGTTTGAGGACTATTTTTAATAATAA